ATGGTGAATTATAGTATTGAAATAGATGATAGGACATGATATGTGGCTTTTATTTCAGTAAAACTGTTTTTAAATAATTAAACAAATAAATAAAGGCAAGGCAAACCCAATAGTAGAAAACAGAATTTTATAAAAGAACTAACCTATCAAAGCAATTTCTAGACAAGCCAGGCTGGTTTTATATGAGGGGTGAGCAGCAAGAGCTCATCCCTGGAACACCCCCCTCCATCCTTGGGATTCTGGCTCTCCCTCTGAAGAGCCAGATGACCCTGGGCAGCCTCTCTGACTTTCTGTTTGAACATCTATAGGAAGAGGACAATAAAGTTTGGCCTTCTGTACTATTGCCAGAATTAGGAATTATATATTTAAAGTGCCTGGCACATTGTAAATATTCAGTAATTTTAGCATGTATTATTAGCTACTTTTACAATTGGGCTGTGTTTCAAAAGTTTGTTTGCAAACTCAGTTGCAAGGAAATGCTCAAAAAATGTTTTAAGTTTTAGTTCAGTTCTTGACTAAGCACAGAGCAGCCTATTTAACCTTCTCTGCAATGGAAATTTTATGCTAATGTACTAGGTTGGATTCTAGGTCCAGGAAGCATCTCTTTCAGCTATGGTGGTGTGAAGTTGAAAAAAATTAAACATATTCTCTCCTTTATATCATCTTAAACATTTTGTTAGTTTTATTCTTTGCCAACCGGGACAAATGGCAAATATTATCTCTCAATATTTCAATATTTTAAAGTTCAAGAGTTTTATGTTTGTCACCATCTAACAGTCTTCCCAGAACCCAAGTCCCACCTTGCACATCTCAGTTCCAAAGTTATACACATGCTGAGTGTCCCAAATCAGCCCTAAATACCCTGTTCCCTGTTCAGCTAAGCCATTAAGTTGAATTTGGCCTCTAAGGTATTGCTTTTCTGTTCGCTCCATAACAAATGTCTAATCTTTTACAGCCATTTATCGCAGGGAGATTGGGGGGGGGGGCAGCCTTATAGAATTGATTTCCCCTAATTTGTGAATAATCAATAGCACTTAAGCTTATACCTCTAAAGAGTGTTTTTAAATACTAGCCCTTGAAGAACCTCTAGGGGTGTTATTTTAGGTCCATTAACAGAATGAAGTGGAAAGTAGCATCCAGGTGGAGAGGAATATGCCACTTTGCTTTCCTGATAGTTTACCCTCAGGTCAGCTTTTCCAAACCATTCTTGTTAGGAGTATTCACTCCCTTCTTTTTCTGAAACCTCTAATGTGATAGCTTTTAACCAGATTGACATCTCTGGGGGAACTTTGAAACTTCCAAGGCCTCTGGCCACCCCCAAATCTGTCTTAAATGAACCTGGGGTGGGACCCAGGGAACTGCCTTTCCAGAAGCTCCCAGGTGATTCCTTTGTGTGGTTTGGTCAGCATCAAGAACTCCTGTTTCAATAATTATCTTCTAAAGAGCTAAGATTTCACACAGACTCCCCCTGCAGGCACCACGGATCTTGTAAGAAAAGAGCAAAAGATTCCTAATCAAAAGGAAAACCAAAAGAAAAAAAGAAGAGAAATAACCAAATAAACCTTCATCATCCCCAGAGCACTGATAAAAGTGTGGGAGGTGATGAGAACCAGAATCAGGATATGCAAACTATTGATCCCACCCCATCTTTTCAGAGAAAGAGAACCCATCTGTTCTCAGGTCAGTTTCATCTGGAAAATGACTAGAAGATGCATCTCTAATTAGAGAAATTCCCCCAGCCTCTGCATGACTTTCTACCTGATACCTGCCAGGAGGCTGCACCCACAGCTGTTTTCACCTTATAATTTGAACTACTTACTGACTCCCTTTCAAACCACACTGTCTACAGTTCATCTGTGAAATGCACTTTCATGTTTTATACAGATGCATTCAGACCAGTATGCAAATGTAAGGAAAAAAAGAAGTGAGAAACTCCACCTGGCTCTGCAGCCCCCAAGCGCCCCCAACACAAGTCACATGTTCATCACCAGGAAGCACCTGAGAGAGACTCTTCCTCATTAGCAGTGTCCCTGTTTCTAGGACCCAAACCTGGCCTTTGAGACAAGTAGGGCAGGCAGGCTGAGCAGCCTCTGGCTTATCCTGTCCACCCCAGCAGATGTTCAGCAAAGACTACCTGTGAAGAAGAGGGCTGAAACTCAGGGGAGTCCCTTACATCTGGGCTGCTTCCAGCAGATAGGGCACCCTGGCCTGCCCTAGTGCAGGACAACGGGACCCCAGACTGCTGCTGAGCTTCTCCTTAGGCAAAATCCCCAGCCACTGGAGTGCTCAAGGTCACAAACTCTCCAGTAGCTGTTCCCAGAAGTCCTGCAGCTCTGTGAGGTGCCCTGATTGTGACACTTTCCTCCCAGCTTGTTTCTTAGGGAACTCTTTAGTAGATTCTACAAATTCTGATCTCTTCTACCTCCAGAAATAGCTCTTAGCCCATTTGTAATGCTCCATTTTTACTGTTGCTACTTTGGTTAGGAACTTTGTTCTTCTGTTGCCTGGACCTGGGCGGGAAATGGCCCCACCATCTCTGATTCCAGTCTATGCCAGAGTCTTGGAATACATACACTGCAAGTCCCCCAAGTTGCTCCCTACTAAAGATGCCTCATGAATTCCTACACGCTACAACAGTGATTTCCATTCCTGGTTGTGCATTAGAATCACCCAGGAATCTAAGAAAGGCAGGTGTCAAGGGCCCCATCCTCAGAGATTATGGTAAAATTGCTTTGGGTAAATTGCCCTTCATAATCATTTCTCAAATGATAATGACAAAACCTGTCCCTTTATTCTGCACAAAATCCCTGGGTTACTGGAGCCTCTTTCCACTTGCCTCCTATTCTCTCCAACTGGCTACTCACTGAAGACATTTGTTTCCTTCTAACAAACTTGCCAGCAAGTTTGGTGAACTCTTGCTCATTTTTCAAAACTTCCCTAAACTGTCCCCACTCCTTCAGTGAAGTCCTTTTTTCACCCTCAGATGGACCTAGTTAGGTCTTCTTTCTTCATGACCCAAATATGACTCTTCCTCTTAGAAATGCAAGTGTCGCTGTCGTTTCTTGCTTCTCTTTATCCCACTGACCTGAACTTACAGGGAAGCTATGTCCTTGTTTTTTCCATTTAACTGTGGACTATGCCAACACAGAGACCCTGTGATGTAAATAGCCACTGTCCCAAATGCAGGGACCAAGGCGTTTGTTGTTCTGTCCTTGTTTAACTGACATCATTATGTCCCTGTGATTTGGCATATACTTGTCTCCCAACACATCCAAGTTCATTAGTTGATTTTCACTACTTACTTAAGTCAGTACAACCAACCCCCCTGTCCCCAGCTCTTCTCAGGACTTGCCTTTTTCAATCCTTTTATCACTTCCTCCTATTATTCCATTATTCAAATATGCTTAATTTTTCTGATGTTTGACTTTAAAATAAAAGTACCAAACACAAGTTAACAAGCATATTACTACCAAAGGTAGATAAGAGATTGATTTATTGATGTATACATGCAGAGTAAACTTGTGTTTGGCACTTTTATTTTAAAATCAAACATCAGAAAATGTTCAGCATATTTGAATAAGGGAATAATAGGAGGAAGCGATAAAAGAATTGAAAAAGGCGAGTCCTGGGAAGAGCTGGATATTGGTTGTACAGACTGCTGGGGAAGAAGCAGAAGCAATGAGCAGGAAGGACCTTATACTACAAGGCACGACAGATGACTATTAAGGGGAGACATGAGCTCTGTGTGTTCTTGTCCTGCATAAAACTTTGCTGCTCAACTGGTTAATACCACAATGTTTCCTTCAGTTGACCTGGGACAGAGACTTAACAGAATAAACTTTTTGGAGTAAGTAGTTGAAATTCTCAGGACTAATTCCCAACAGCATTTCTTCGATAAGATTGGTCCCCAGTGCATGTGTCCCTGAGAGAACCGGGGCAAAAGAATAAGAGAGGGATTCACTTCTTCTTCTTCTTCTTCTTCTTCTTCTTCTTCTTCTTCTTCTTCTTCTTCTTCTTCTTTTTTTTAAGATTTATGTATTTATGCATACAGAATGGGGGTACAGGCCAGAGGTGCAGGGGTGGTGAGAGGATTCACCAGAGACAGAATGGGGAGCAGAACAGGCCGATTGATGAAGTACACTGCTGAGGGGAGCAGCAGGCGGGTCAGAAGAGGTCTGCCAGCCATGTGGGTCACCTGTGAGGCTGGGCATAGGACTCGCACTGAAGTGTCTGCAGCCAGCTTGCAGTGCTGCGTCCTAACCCTTGGCACCACCAGGGAGGGCCAGGATTCACTTTTAATCAAACCCAACTCTGCCACCACTGTCCAAAGACATTGTCTTGGATCCATTCATCCCATTAACAGTAAAACGGGGTATCCTGATATTTACACATGATTAGACAAGAGCTCAGCAAAGGTCGTAACTCATCCAGTGTTATATGAGAAAATGGAAAAAGCTAAAATTGAACCAGTCTATTACTTCGCCAACAAAAAACTGCCTCAAGCTGGCACCTCATTAGAATCTAGCTTCCTTCATCTATTTTTGTCCTTTAAAACAGTTTATTTTTATTTTAAAAAAGTTACTGGTAGAAAAATGTGAAAAATATTAAAAGTGCCTCTAATCTCACCACCCAGAGATAGATCCACTGGGAACATTTTAATGTTTTTTTTTTAAGATGTTTACTCTGCATTTATATACCAATAAATCAATCTGTTACTCACCTTTGGCAGTGATATGCTTGTTAACTTGTGTTTGGCACTTTTATTTTACAATCAAACATCAGAAAATTTTCAGCATATTTGAAAAGGGATTAATAGGAGGCAGTAAAAGGGTTGAAAAAGGCGAGTCCTGGGGAGAGCTGGGGGTTGGTGTGAGCAGAGGGAAGCGTGGGGTCTGTGTTGAAGATGCACATGGCCATAGCAGAGGAGGGAAATCAGCCCACTCTCTCCAAACTCTCCAAATCAATCATCTTTCTGCTTGTCCTTCCTGTTTCTTTTGCAGGCAGCAACTTGAATGATGGCCTGTGGCATTCGGTTAGCATCAATGCCAGAAGGAACCGCATCACTCTCACTCTGGATAATGATGCAGCATCCCCGGCTCAGGACACCAGCCGGGTGCAGATTTATTCTGGAAGTAGCTACTACTTTGGAGGTAATATCCCCAGCTTTTAAGGCTGCAAATACAGGGAGAGAGAATACAGTAAACAATGTTCCACTCTGATGATTCTTTCTTTGTCAATTAGACCACTCCCCTAACACACACACACACACAGGACACCATCCCAAAGCCCAAAATAATGAGAAGCAAACGCTCTCACAGCTGTGCAAATATAAATTATCTAGGTCAGCGCCGAGGAATAATAATTTTAGTTGTAAGAGCAGGTGTTATATAACACATCCAAAGGAGATTTTCGTAGCCACGTGGAGCTCCCTGATCACATTTGAAAGGAGAAACTCAGCTGAAGACTTGGAGAAAGTGTACCAACAGTCAATAGTACTTGCAAGAAAACAATCTCGGTGGGAAGGGCCACCAGTCTATTCAGACAACTCAGTCACTACTCCCCACATCCCTAGTTTTAAGAACTGGTGTATACCATAACCCAATAGCATTTGGGGGCTAAAAATAAGGAAGACCTAGCCCCTCAAACAACTGTAACTCCATGTAGAATTATCTGTATAGATCTTGCCTTCTCAACTCAAGGTAAATCACAAGGAATTTTCCAAAGACAAAAATACAAGGAAAACAAAAAAGGCTAAGAAAACAGGTGCTTAGTGCATTTCCTTTGTTGCAGATATGACTACCTGGCTTCATAGTTCCTTGTTTGTAAATAATCTTTAAAGAATAATAAATCTCAACAGCTCACTGACCTTCAACAAGACACTAAAGGACCTTGACTTTACTAATCTCCATCATGGAGAAACAGAAGACTTGCTGGGGTCCCAGTAAGATCTAAGGTTGAATATATAGAGAGAGTGCCCATGAGAAAGAAAGCCAGTGAAAAAGAGCACAGTGCTTCCTGCAGGGCAGGAACAGACACAATAGCTTCAAGTTTCAGAGTGATATGGTCATGGGCTGGGCTTGATTTACACTTGCTGATTCTTTTTTCATTAGGAAACTGAAGAGGGTTTTGTGTGAAATTATAAAGTGCAGCCTCTTACATAGAATTTACAGATCACTTCTCTCATATCAGTGACAAGGCTGGTGTTCAAGTTTTTTAAAAGATAAAACAGACTTAGCACAGATGCAGTGAACATATCAGGGCTTCTGGGAGGGAAGCAGTGTGGAGTGACAGCTTTAAGAATTGTTTGTAGGGTTTCAGAAAGGACCTCTGTCCTGCCCTCCACATCTTTTGCACAAAGATAACAAATTCCTTTAAATGAGAACAAAGATAACAAAATGTACAAAGATAACAAATTCCTTTAAATGAGAGCACTTCTATTCATGGTAAATGCTTTGTCTTACCTCATTTAATTCATGCAGTAGCTTTGCAATCAAGTTAATAATAAACACCAGAAAATAAAACTGGTGTTGGCTGAGATGGGATAATTTGAGTGTAGAATTAGAATTCACATCCATCTCTGTTCTTCATGAATCCCCAGTGACAGCAGAGGGATATACTAACCAATGTACCATTCTTCTGTATCCAGGATCCTTTGTATGAAGGATGCAGAAGAAAGGTTTTGATGGTCCCAAACTCATGCCTCATGTATTATGTAATTTTTCATGATATGTAATTTATCATCAAAAGTGAGATAAAGGCAAACTTTTGCTCATTTCTAGGGAAAACAGTGTTGGATCATTATGCCTTGGAGTCAAAAATGATTCCTGCCCCCCAGTTGAAGGAGTACTCCTGGGGGGCACTGGACTTAGATGATGAAGATTTATCTGTGGTTTTTAGAGTGTTTAAATAAACGCCCCATACGTATGTAGCCTGCAAACTTATGGAAGGTGAAAAATGAGTTTGAGTAATAATAGTCAACTTACATAAATTCTCTCTACAGCTTCAATTAGAAGTTGTAGCATCTCTCTTCATTTTATAGTGTTTCTCGAAGCTGTTAACCAGCTGCTGGGCTTCAGCCCAGCAGTGACTGTCTATTAGAGATGGCTGAAATAATTCCCCATTATTTATGGGATATTGCCATGTTTTCAAGCTTGCATTCCCATATGTTCTGAACCTATTAAAACCATCGAGTTGGAGTTTATAAAGAGCACACGTATTCATATACCTATGTTGCTTTATACCTGTCTAAACAAGAAGTAGAAGCACACTGTTTGCAGGCTATGCTAATCAGTGTGATGCACTTTTTTTTTTTTTAAGAACATCCTTTAAAAGGTAAAGTGTTAACCTTTCATGTACATGATAATAGCCATATAACTATGTGCATTTAAGCGTGTAGTTTCCTTAGTGTCTGGATTTGCTTTGTGCATCCTTTTAAAATTCCAGTTACATTCCCGTGTGTACCTTTCTCAGGAACTTAGCCTGTTAATGCTAACAATTAACCAATTACTCTGCCACCATCCTTACCAAAGCACAATTTCCTTTAAAAGTGTGATTCAAAATTGAAGTGAGCATTGAGAAGTGTGTTTCTAGACAGAATCAAAATTCCCAAGCAGTTGTAATATGCTGCTTCCTTGGGATGAGTGAAATATTCCATGCAAATGGAATATTGCTTACCAGTAGGACAGAAAAAAAAAAGAAAGAAAAGAAAAGAAAAAGAAAAGAAATCAGAAGGCGATAGATGCTATAGTGTTGGTATTTCCTTTGACGCCTTTTATTTTTGGTTGTACTATGATTGAGTATGCCCCATTTTGTACAATTCTGTCCCCTCTCTGAGGATGCTAGGATTTACAACAAAAACTGTGCACTGCTGTGAATGAAAAAGCACCAAAATAATTAGACCTCCAGGTCTTCCATCAATAGGTCGCCAAAGCAATGACTGATCATTTCAGTATTCTTCATTTTTTTTTCTCTGTCCCACAGGGTGCCCCGACAATCTCACCGATCCCCAATGTTTAAATCCCATTAAGGCTTTCCAAGGCTGCATGAGGCTCATCTTTATTGATAACCAGCCCAAGGACCTCATTTCAGTTCAGCAAGGTTCCCTGGGGAATTTTAGTGATTTACACATTGATCTGTGTAGCATCAAAGACAGGTAATTATTGTCTCTTCTCCTCTATTCCCCCACCCCCTTTCCATTCTCACTGTTCTAAATATGAGTTTCTTTAAGCAAAATTCTAATCCACTGACATTAGCCACATTAGACATAATTGAATTGCCTAATGGAAAATATTTCTGAAAGGATTTCAGGCCCGGAGAAAAATGGCTTAAATTAGTTGAGTCTCTCTTCATGTTGACTTGCAGTAAATGGGATATGCAAATTAAATCAAAATACAAATTTGTGAAAGGATTAAAATTTTATGCATAAACAACATTTGATTACTCTGAAGTTAAGAGTAAAGCAAAAAGGAGGGCGATTTTGCTTCTTTCCCAACCATTTGATTCTTTACTGTGGTGAGTGTCCTTCCCTATAGGCAGAGGGGCACAGGTTGTCCAGTGATCCCTCAGCAGAGGTTTGAACAGCGCCCAATAATCCACAGTAAGTTCTAGGGCTGACTTTGCTGTCACTATTGCTAACTCACTGTGTCTTTGATCCAAGAGAGACCAGACAAAGGACAGAGAGAATCAGCTCTTACCTTTGAAACTCACAATTGAACAAAAACTCAGTTTTTCTCTTTGTTTCTCCTGTGCTCTGGTGACTCTTATATTGGGCTTTCTCAGTTCAAAGACATGCTGCTGGAAATTAATGGGACTTTATTTTGAATTTTCAGCAAACTTTATCATACATGCTATATTTCTTGTCTAGTGTGTATATCTTTCATTCTTCCAATTCTGCTTACTCTAGTCAGTTATCAATTGTTACATGAGTGATATTTATCTATATCTATGAAGTGCTTGCTTATACGTTCCTGACATAAGGTCTCAAATCAAGTTTCTTCAGGGCATAAATGAGTCTTTGCAATCAAGTGCAGTAAATGATCAAGTACACCCTTACTTGGGACACATGGCATCAGCTGCTTAGCTTGCCCTTGAGGAAAATGATCAAGTAGGTTATTAAGAAATGGTACTGAGCTAAATACTGAAAGAGAGCAAAATTCTTGAAGGGTGGGAGACATTGGTAGGATGAATTGGTGGAATGTAGCATGCAAAATGCCATAGAATAAAATGATCATACCTTGTGATAGTTCATCACTCAGGAAACCATTTTTCATATAAAAATCTCAAATATTGGGATGCTTTTTACAAATGACAGTGAGTAATTGTCTAATTAGCACATGCATTCTCTTTAATGGCATATGAAAGAATGGCATGTCTTACAGTTAGGAGCATCTTTGATTCAATAAAATATAGCCTAGTAGAGAAAGTAGGTAATTTTGATGAAGCATGAAAATGTGGCCAGAGAGTCATGGGCCAGTATGGATCCTGAAAAACAATGATGCATGCAGGGTTTGACATCATGCTTTAGGTGAGAATCACTACAAAACTATTCAGTTGCCTAAAAGACATGCTCTGGAAAAGCTAGAAGGATGGATAAAGAGAGAACCAGCTGGAGAGGTGACTGCCTCAGTCCAGCAGGTATTGATGACATGTAGCAGGTTCCTGTGCTGGGCCAAGCAGCACAGAAATCAGTCCTGCAGATCCTATTCCTGCTAATGCTCAGAGTGACCGATATAATTTGGTGGAACTTTATGTGCCATGTTCCTATGTTAATACCACTCCACATGGGAACACCAACAAATCACACAGACTTCCTGGCTCTTATGCTTCATTTTTTTCCCATTTGGCCAGCTGGAAAAGTGGGTAATAAAATGTGTGCTTCATTAGAATGTGCTAGTTTAGAGATCTTTGAATAAAAGATACTTACACAGAATGGTGCTGCCCCCCTAGTCTTTATTAATGATGGGGGGAGGCATCAGAGTTGGTTAGTCAGCAAAGTCTTTGCAAAGTGTAGCTCAGTGTGTATATGTGGGTGCATTTATCAATAGGGATCTCTTATGATACCTTAATATCTAATCTAGGAAAATCTCATTATATTCGATGACATGAATGTCATTGCCAGCTACACTTCGTCATTACTTTTGTGTAATTGTAACCTGGTTAATTGCATGACATACAATGTGTTTTGGCTAATTGTATAAGGATTTATCTTTATTTTGGTGGGCAAATGGTAGGCTTTTCTTGACTTACCAGACAGTATCTCTAACTGAAGGGAAGACTATGGTAAAGACTTTGCTTAATTCATTATTTTCTGAACTTTTGGACATTTGTTAGAGAGGGACAAGGCTTAAAAATGAAGGTGGTTTGTGAATTACATTGTGTTATTAATGTGTTAATCAAAGCAAACCTGATTGATAGGCAATTGTAAAGTCCACTTTCAGGGAGTTTATCACTGGGTTGGGGTGAGGGTGCAGTTGAGAGAGTTGAAGAATCTGTGTAGATATTCATACCTGTGCTTCTCCCTATAAAGTGTGTGGACAGTAGACTTAACTGGTCTAACACCTTCTGAGTTTTGCAGTGCCTATGGCTGTGGAATAAGTCAAAGCCACATGTAGGTAAGGAAAGCTAAGTTTTCTTGGAACAGAATGAAACCACGCCTGGGAAGAGGCTCCAGCAAGTAGAGTCCAGGGAAGAACAACTGTAAGGAATGACCGGGGACTCTGGGCTTCAAAGCAGAGCAGGAGGCTGCTTGTTCTATCCTTTCCTAGGGTATACTGTGCAGGTGCTCCTAGAGTGTTGATTTATCAGTCCAGGGAGCACGATCTAGGTTACTCCTAATTCCACTGTATTCCCAAGCAATAATTTTACTAGCAGCAGATTGGGGCTAGAGTCTGCCTTCTCCACTTTGTCCCTTGCTCTCTCTGGGCTTTATCAGACTGCTTGTAAACAGGGATGAAGCACTGTTTCTTCCCTTTGGGTGTTCCTTCGCTGTCCCCAAGCGTTGTCGGCCTTGGCAAGTGTTTCCTTCTTTCCCTAATATACTAACACAAGAGTTTTTCTTTCCAGGCCCCTGTTCTGCTTCTTCCTCACAGAGTATAGAGACTCATCTCTTCCTCACCCCTCAGTGGAGTCCTTCCAAGTCTCCTCCTCACTCTCTATCCGATCTGGTTGTATAGTGGGGTTCAGTCCTCCCAGTTCCCCTTCTTTTATGGACCCTATAATGAAACACTCTTATGTTAGTCACTAGGTAAAGGAAAATCATGATAGCAGTGACAAGAGAGACAGAAATGTTCCAAAATCAGCAAAACTGGCTGGAGTTAGGGATTAGTATGAGTAGCTCCTTTAAGCCAGTTCCCTGGGTGGCTTTGCCTGAGGCTGCTGCCCATCCTGTGTAGGTCACAACCAGTTTCCCTTAAAAAAAAAAAAAAAAAAAAAAACAGGTCCTCCCTGGTGGTGCAGCGGGTTAAAACATAGCACTAAAAAGCAAAAGCCACTTCAGTGCAAGTTCTATCTCTGCCCTGGAGGTGATCCACAGGGCTTGTCAGACCTCTCCTGACCCGCCCAATGCTCCCCTCAGCAATGTACTTCATCAGTCTGCCTGTTCTGCTCCCACTCTGTCTCTGGTGAATCCTATCATCCCCTGTACCTCTGGCCTGTACCCCAGTTCTGCATGCAAAAATAAATAAATCTAAAAAAAAGACAATGCCGGCACTTCCTGATGGTGCAGTGGATTAAAGCACAGCACTATGAAGCTATCCACAGCCACTACAGCACAAACTCAATCCCTGGCCAGGCAGGTGACCCACATGGTGTGGCAGACTTCTCCTGACAAAACTTCTGCTCACCTCAGAGTTGCATTTCAACATCTGCCTTTTCTACTCCCCACTCTGGTGAATTTTCTCCACCCACCCCGTATGGTCTGTACCCCTGTTCTGTATGCATAAATAAACAAATCTTAAAAAAAAAAAGACAATGCCTTGATTGGAAAACTGGGGAGGGGAGGATGGAGACCTTCTCAAGTCCTAAGGAAACTAAACTAAAATTTGCATCTTAACAATGGCAAATTACCAAATCTTCTGGCCTGGGGGGGAAGGAAGCTGAGTATATATCCTCTCTCTGGCAGCAGGCAGTGCTGGCTTTAGGACACCACTTTTGCTTTGCAGAAATACCTACTTAGGGGACTGAGGCCAAGGACTGTGGCAGGTGGTGCCCCTCCCTAAGGATGTTGCTGTGAAGACAAAACAGCCTCAAGGATAATGTTAAAAAGTTTCTATTTTCCTGTGGGGATTTCTCAAAGATGTGGGAAAAGACAAAAAGAAGGGGTGAGTGAGAGAAAAGAGAGGAAGAAGGAAGGGGGGTTTTGTTTGTTGGGGGTTGAGGGTTCTGGGGCTCTAGGATTCCAGGTTTGAGTTCCAGGTTTGGAGTTGCTTCAGCATTTTGGGAGCCAGTGAATTTTGAGGTGCAGGAAGGGGATGATCTGGGGGGAGGCCGCTGTGGACCCCTGAAGGTGGAGTACAGAGGAAGAGGCTTTGTAAATAGCCAAGCAACTGAAAGGCTTCTATTTTGGCTGAGGATACAGCCAGGCTTAGTTGCATGAGTGAGGCCTTTGTGGAATCATTTTAATGGATGTGGCAACTGTCCTGAGTGTCCCTTGTCTGGTACTGTGCTGACACATCTTATAGCTCTAGGAGCATCTCCTGTCAGCTTTGTATTGCCTTCCTGAGTTAGAACCAGGCCTGGAGTCTGGCTGCCATGTGCCCGAGGTCATCAGAGGCAGGAAGACACCATCTTAGACACTGACCTATTGTTCAGGAGAGGAGCTGCATATCCCCAGTGTTGGGAAGACTCCATCATTTTAACACACTTTGTGCAGGACTGGACAGTACTGGACATGACTTTGGGTAAAGTAAATGACCATTATTTGCTTCAGTAACTCTTGATTAGCCTATTTGTTGAATAAACCCCTTTGTTGTTATTTCTTAAACTTGAGCAGTTTTGCAATTGTGCATGCGGGTGAAGAACCCAGACAGTATTTGGGCTGGGGGGTAGTGGGTGGACGGAAAGGACTTGGTCAGTTTAAGGTCCCTTGCCACCCAATATCAGTGAGAGCTATAGAAGCCATGATGTATAAAGGGCTTAATAGCCCCATTTTTAAAG